ACCATGCAATCGGAATAAAGAAACGGGTCGGACGGCCTCCACCAGGAGTCCCAATTCAAGGACACCAACCAAACCAGGTGCCACGGTGACCATCCGACCCATAACAACCCTATACGATAGTACAGCTGCCCCATAGGGTTTCCTAGACCGGAGTCTTTACTGAACGAAGAAAACTGCCACTCCCCACCAATCGGCAGATCGTAAAAAAACAAAGCAAAATAATACACACTTTTCGGCCAGGATCATGTTTTGAAGTGCCTTTCTTGTACACACTGGCCAGTGCATGCGGCACCAGGTGCAATCCTGAAACCGGGCGTTAGATTCTAGATTTGTAGAAAACATTGCGGAAGACCAGGCATCAAAAGCCGACACCAGGCTGGAAACCTGGCCAACAAAATGCAGGTATTGATGGTGGTGCCACAGAGCATTTTCCCTGGTCTCCAAGCACGCCGAGGTTCAGATGTAAATCAGACGTACTCAGGTGTCTTCCAGTCACCCTCAGGGTTTGTGCAGACGTTAAGGGAAGATTTGAAAACACAACAAAACCCCAGTTTCCGAACTGCTGATCAGCAGGTTCACCCACCATGGCGGAAGCATTCGAAAGAAGGCAAGTGCATGACAGAAGTTCCTTTCAGAGCTGTCCTTGGGTGCAGAGAGCGGTTCTACATAACTCCTTAAGACATCATCATTGGCACTTTTGAATCTAGCACAGTGGTTCTCCACCTTCCTCATGCTGCGACCCTTTAATACAGTTCCTCATGTGGTGGTGCCCCCCCAACCATACAATTATTTTCATTGCTGTGGGGGGAGGTCACCTGTTCAGGCATCCTCCCTAAGGGTGCCTGCTGTTAAAGACAATGAACAGGCCTGCAGTCATCTATTTGGTTCCTGTAGGTGGAGTTTACACCCTACTGATAAGAGTCTCTATCAGTTGAGCCAGGAACAGGTCAAACAGGCTCTGTGACATCCAAAGTTAGGCTGCCATCCTATATCTAGGATCCGCCCATCTTGACACATGTGTACCCCCAAGCCCTCCTCTTCTAATTGTGTGGATGTCCCTAGACCACACCCTCTCACTGTTGTATAACCTATAGTGCAACCCCTTCCTATGATGTATGACTTTACCTGTAATTAGTGGGCTTGCACGCCCCCAAAAGGTATATAGACCTGGGTTAGCAATAGAGAGCACTCTCGCTGGTCTCTCCCCGTCTCCTCTCTTCCCCCTCTCCTCTCCCATCTCCTGTTCCCTTTGTCCTCCTTCGCTTCCCCCTCTCTCCAC